AACTGGTCGGGGAGGTTGGGGCCCTGGAGGTCTGGTGAGGGCAGTGGGTCTGCTCCAGGGGTGGGTTCCTGTCATTTGCCTGAGTTAAAGAGGACAGCTGGAAAGGACAGCTTAGGGAAACGTGGGGCAAAGGTCTGTGAGTACAACCACATGGGCTTGAGGTCTAGCTGGTGACAGACTTGGGAGATGACCTCAAATCTGCACCTGGCTGAGGACAGTTTACTACAATCAGTTCCAACAGGGACCAGCTCCCATCTCAGGGACCCTCCAGTGAAAGAGAACGAGGCTTGGCTGTTCTGCAGGAGGCGAATGGGCAGGAAGGCCCAGTGTCAGGATCCCACCCTGTGGTGGAGGAAGGCCTCATTGGCTCAGGTCCCCAGGGCCTTGTTCCTCAGCTCAGTGGATGTTCAGAGTGTGGGCCACCTGCAGTTCAGGGATCTGTGGGGAGGACAGCAGCCTGGGTAAAGTTTGGGTAGGAAAGGGGTGGTTGTGGACAGTTGGTCAAACCAGGTTCAAAGGAAAAATACGAATTGAGTAAGGACAGACATGTATTGACAACAATGATTGCAAAGGTGGGGGAGGGGATTGTTGCACTAGGGGCAGGGGCCTTGCAGGGGACAGGGGCTGCTGCTGCCGGCAGTGTGGCCTTGTCTCCAGGGTAAATGCCTTGTAAGTCCTTCTGTGCTGGGGGGACATTGCATGTTGTAGCTCGTGAATAAGTTACACGTCAGCAGGAAACGAGGAGCGGAGTGTGAACCATATGTCGGTTCTGGGTCCCATCACTTGCGACTTCATGGTGTCCAGCTCGAGTGTGTCACACGGAGTCTCCTGGACGTCACACGTTGGTTTATCTGATTCCTCCAGGGCTGAGCATTTCTCACGTGTGGGTTCCCTCTTCTGTGGAAGCGTTTCCAGCGTGTTGTGACCTGTAACTCACATGTCTTCTTCCTGATCTTCTGTTTCCTTCATGTCCTGGGGACATTCAGGCTGTTTCATTTCAGCATGTTGTGTTTTCTCCATGTCAGGGTGTATCCTTTCTCTGGGTTGTCTGGGCGGATGGACCCTTCACGTTGTTAGTAGACTTGAACTTCCCCGTCTTCTTCCTGTGTAGATGACCGTCTTTTGTTCCGTGAGAAAACTGCATCACGCAGGTCATAATCACACATGCTGGAACTCTCTCTCCGTGTGTTCCTCTTGTTTCTGCGACAGATAAATCCACAACACTCAGTTATTGTCTGTGAAGCTGATGATTCCTTTTCCTCCACAGATGTCTAGTCTTTCCTGGCCCTGTGTGTCCTAGTGTCTCCATCTCGGCCACTGGCCTTGGGCACCTGCCTGGTAGACATCCACTTGCTGAAACCAGGGGCGCATGATGTCTCCCCTTAATGATATATTATGGGAATCGATAGCAAATGGGAGATACTTGTTGTGGGAGATAAGGGCATCCCCACATGTGTCATCCAGTCCAAGATCAGGAATGTGATCCCATCTATTATTTCCACAAGCCCATAGTTAATCCCATGGAGTGGGGTATACTCTGGGTTTTAAGGAGTGATTTTCCTTACACATTCATGCAGAATTGGTCAAGGTGATAGTTGAGTCATGCATTTGGGGAGTCCTTTCCATTTTCCAGCTGTTCAAATAATCCTGTGTCCCTGGGGTCTTATTATCTTCCCGACAGAGTAACAAGCATGGAGATTCTCTATCATGAGCTGTTGTGGAAATTTCTCTAAATTTCACCTCAAGTTGTCTAGCATTGGTATTTTTCAGAATTTTAAGAAAAACAGTTTTAATTTTTAATGACTTTAGGTCATGACAAAGGAAGATTCAAAACCTTAGTTTGGAGATCCATGGCCAGGTATTTGAGGAACCAGAAGAATTCAGGATCTAATCTGGTTTATAAGAAATACTATCAAATTCCAATATCTCCAAAGAGGTGGTTTTGAAACATAATTATTTTCTCTCTGAATTCACTCCTGTTTCTAAAGATAGCCAAATCAAGACTGATGGTTTGTAAAACAAGTTCAGTTTTAACAATCATCACCTAGTTACTTACAAAAGCTCAGGAAGAACAGTGATTGGCCAAATAGGTTTTTCAAGAAGCTTGCTTTCCTCAAAATTGTTAGCAGGAATCTCTGGATTGAACTTTTATAGCCCCTTGAGGCCAGAAGACAAGCCAAATATTTGTCACCAGACTTGTCTGC